AGAGGTTGATTTAACCCACAAATGGGTTTATCCAGTTTGTATTTGTTTTTGGCAGTTATAAGTCATTTTTTCTAGCGTCTTTTGGTTTGCTTTATGATTGTCATTGATCGAATTGACATTCGTTATTACAATCGCTATCGAGCGTGGAATTATCCTGTTATTCGGACATAAAGATCGGACTAAATTGTGAAAAACACTTAAAAAACTTTGATCATTATAGTTAATGCTGTAGGATGAAATCTGTGATAGATAAAGAAAGATAAAAAATATAARAAACAAAGTTTACTTCACTTACCAGCGACGAAGTTCAGCACGTGGAAAATCTTGTCTCCTGAGCCAGCGTTTTTATATGTCAGCGTCGTTGGCTAGTTGCCATGCCAATGCTACGTCATGGTRGAGACATGTGTGATAACGATGCTAACTGCGCATAYTCATTCACACRAGATCAWAMGATTGGATACTRTTCAGATTCGAAAACCCACATCAAAGAACAAGTTCAAGAATCCTTGTATATATACTGTGGTTTTTCATTACATTTGGTATTTGATGTGCTGTGTCTTTGTTGCTATTAAAATTTTAATAGGGCAGGAATGGTGAATTACAGGGGGAGACAAGTTTGCAATTGCAGGGGATGGAGTTTGAGTTGTATTTAGACCTTCAAATCACGTGATAGTGTTACTTACGGACTTACAAACCGATAACAAAGTGGTTACCCGTCTTATAGACGGAGTAACCACAAAAATGGTATAAGAAGAGCAAAAAGAAGAATAACAAAATGAACAAGCCACCAAACTTTGTAGTCGTCACGGGAAGTGTTAACAAATTCGTGAGTTTCTACTCCTAGTGCTGCATTAACAATTCTGATATGTCTTTGCAGATCCTCGTCGGTTACAAGGGTGTTGGAATCATCAAGGAGTTTCATTGCCATAGTGGTACGAGGTAAAATTGGAACAACTCCGTAATTCCCACAGTTTACAGTTAGGACCTTGACGCTCTGCCGGTTGAGGTTCTGATAGGTTAACAGATGTCTAACATCTGGATTGATATCATCTGGGTTGACATCATCTGGATTCATATCATCTGGAAAATTTGGAAACGGGCTAGGATACAAACAAGAAGCTATACGGATTCTGTATTTTACAGCCGGTTTGTTCTTTTCACGATTCAGGATCCATAACGAAATGCCGACAGACGCACACAAAGCCCATAGCTGTACTTCAGGAAGTAGTTGTCCCCCAGTTATCTGGAAATATGGTACAACAAGACCAGAAAAAGAACTACCACACCTACTGGAAATATGTACCAGTGCTTTATAAACATCTTCGTCTGTTCGAACGGGAGTGAATACCACATCTGGAATAAAAGTGCCGGAGTCAAGACGAGAGAGTTCATTCCATTCGTCTGGAGGGTCTGGAAGAACCACAGGTCTGGAAGTACGAGAGATCTTATCAGGAGTGTATGTAACATTTTCTGGTGCTATCGTTCCTGTTGCTATTCCCCAAGCAGCCGTTGCGTGAAGGCGGCAGCCCCAAGGTACATATAATATTACAGATTTGATGTATTTATTCAAGTAATAAAGTTTGCAAGGACGTTGTGGGTATTTGATATGGCCATGTGCAACGAATGTTAAATCCATCACGTCGTCGTGGTTTTCTTCGCTTTCATTATCGTCTGTTTCCATTTTTTCACGATGGTTGTCTTCTTCAATTTTTTCTTTCAAGAATTTAAAGATTTGACTTACATGAAATGAGAAAGCTTGGGGTGATTCTACATGACGATCGTATACATCCAACCAGCCATCGTTGGTACAGCCAGGTAAACGTAAATATTCATGAAAATTTTTAGCTTCCGTTTCCCCTACTTTATTTGCAGCAGAAATAGCCTCGAGCAAATTCTGAAACTGCTGTTTAAGGATCGATTCCAACTTTTCCGCCAGAGTCCTAAGCAAAAAAAGTGAAATTAAGCTAAGAAAAGGCAGTCTTTATGGACAGAATGTATGTCGAAGACATGCAATTGGGAAGAAGCAGCTACAATGCATATTGCAACTTAAATGACGCCAATTAGTATACCCTCTCCATTCCATCCACTAATAAACGATGGAAATGCTTATAATACCGCAAACCAATGCACTCGGCAATCTCTAGAACACATTTTCCGAATGGTAAAGTGACAAAACGTTTTAACACTTACGAAATCAGCTGCAGAAACTCTGCCATTTTCAACAGTTGTTCTTTATATTGCTGTACTATTTCACGAAGTGTTCCGGCTGCTTTAGCATTGGCGCGATCATTCAAGTCTACCAACGTATGAACTAACTTATAAATGTCATAGGAAAGTTCACTGGCAGAAGATTTCTCTTGGGAATCAGGACGTACAAAGGTTGCTAAGACGTTGTGGGATTTCTCCAACACGCTATGATTAAACGCTTCTAGCATCACCGGTGTACAGGTAGAAACTATCTTTTCCATGCCACTTTCGCTTTCGTTGCCAGCTTTTTCGGCTGTTGATATATCACTCAATGCTAAAGTGCAAACATTTGTTGTGGATTTATTGGAACTATTTTCTGTCGTGGACAATTGTGAAAACATATCGGCAACAAGTAATGAAGACATAATTCTTTCTTTGTGACCAAGATCAGGTGTCGAACGACTGAGATTTGCAGCATGCTCCTTTAGAGTTGCATAAATGTGATCGATGGTTGACAATAACTGTTTGTCGGCGTCTAAATTGGTTTGGGCTTGTTTCGCCTTCTCTTTCAATGTCGCCATCTCATCTTCACTCATCACCTCCCTTGTTTCTGTAAGGGTAAGGCTTGTCACGCTAACATTGTCGCTCAATGCTTCTAACTCGTCTGCGATCTCGTCGAGAACATCCAGCGTTGACTGTCTTTTTTTGACATAAAAATTAACTTCTTTTATAAGCCTGCGGGCTTCGTTTGCAGCTTTCTCGAAGTCGTCATCTTTGGTACCTTGGGCGATGAAATATTCGTTCATTTCACTTATGCTGAAATATAAACAAAGCATAATAGGTTAAAATATGATATAAAATATTAAACGTCCTCCAGACGGAGAACGCACGCATATATAAGCGCGGATTTGCTATGAAGCATGAGCACGCGCTGTCCCGTCAGCGAGAACCTTTGTAGGTCTTACATTATATATATGATATCAAAGAGGCAAGATTTATCTGTGACTCCGAGTTTCGTGCTACGCACTCATCAGACAGTAATTAAATACTGTCTGATGAGTGCGTAGCACGAAACTCGGAGTCACAGATAAATCTTGCCTCTTTGATATCATATATATAACTAGCTCTACACTTTATGTGTATTGAGCACTCTTTAATGGGATCAGCCACTTCCTCATACGATTAGGTCTTACATTATAACATTTCTTGTAGAAAAGATCATTAACTTGTATTCAGTCCATCCAATCTTTCGGCACCGAAATACTGTAGTGCTCATAGGATTTGCTTTCCGATACTCCCTTTCGGTCTTTTAAAATTCTTTGATGATGAAACCTTTTGAAACCGACTACGTTTTTGAAGTCACAAAATTTTACAACATTCATTCTTACCCTTCTACTTCATGGCTGCTCTTCCAGTCAGCGCATTCAATATTGCTGATATAGACCTTTTCCTGTGAAAAGGGAAAATATTCCATTAGTGTTTTCTATTGCTTGAGCAATTTGAAAATCGTACAAGTTAAGCTACGTTTTTAGTCTGTTTTCAATGATTTATGCTGAGTTAATATGTACTGTTGTGTTGTGTAAAGTAGTGAGTAAGACACAAGCATGCCAGATATATCATTCCAGTTCTTGCTTGAAATATCCAGTTTAGTTTTCCCAATACTTGTGCCAGTTATTGACTCAGTCTATGCATGCTTTACAGTCATGCTGAAATTTTCTACTGTGGGATTTTGCTTCAAATCAAATTTTAAACGCCGAGAATTACGGTTTTGATTAATGTTTGAATGCCGTAATTTTAGTTTGAACCAGTACAAATTCAAAATAAATAAATAAAAATACCTTAGGCAAATCTTCAGTACTGGATTCAATCTTCTCGGAAATAGATTCAAGTAGCTCCTGGAACTGTTTCTTTAGAATTACCTCCATCTCTTCAGCAAGTGACCTATGCGCCATAGGAAAAAATAAAAAGTAAATATGAGCGATGAACATTATTAAAGTGCGGGTACGATGAGAGCCGAACATAAAATTTGAGCTGTTTTTGTACATATACCTCTTTATGAAGATCCAAATAAGTATTTCTGAGAATTTTTTTATCGATACATCATTGAAAAGCAGGAGAAATTGAGCTTTGAAAGTCGGTTTTTTCCTATCCGCCATTAACCTGAGCCGAAGTGACATCGGTTGGCGGTTTTACCCAAACGTGARGCATATGACGTCATATGCTTAACCCAGGAACGAGGTTGTCCTTCAGACATACAAAACTTAGGGGAAATGAAGGTTTGAAGCGTATAAAATAATGAAGAAACAAAGTCAGGAGCATCGAATCAAACGTTTTGTTCTGTCTCTGAGACCTTCCGAGTTCAAATGCAATCGTTGAAAAAATTATAGTGATATATTTCGGCCTATCCATCCGCTCTTTGAAGACATATTGAGATGGGGAGCACACGGCCAGTTCAATTCCCAGATTTGTAGACATCCTAAAGTTTATCATAAAAGTAAGTTTCTATATTCTTTGGAGTCTTCATAAGTTAAGACTCCAGTCATGCTACAGAAAAGTTCGGCTTTGAATTTGAATTTAAACTGTTGATTAAACTGAGTACAAAATTATTATCACCGCGCGTGATGTTAATATTGAATTCACTATCATGAAGTCGTAATTTTTTGTTTTGACATAAATGAAAAAGAACATCTATTTAAAGTGCTCTCCCGTAAAACGACATACTTTTTGTCCTTTTGGGGCTGAGACGCGAAAGAAAATTGGCAGCTTATACTTGCTTGATCAGGGAGTCAATATGGGTACTGTGATAATTCACTAATTCACCGATCTCAAAACATGGTTTGAATAGCCGTTTATCTTTAAATGTTTCAGAGCAGATACACTACAATGTAAATAATATGACTATAAGCAAAGAGAAGAATTGTAAAATAGTGACAACATGACAACAATCAGCAAATGTGCGA